AAAACCCTATTTTTAGAAGCAGAACATACTGAGAGCAATCCCCTGTTGCTTTACCCATGCCGTCCATGAGTGGTACAGTCCAGGACAGTCATTGTTAGGAAGAAAATATCACAAAATTATTCACACACTAGTGATCTTGTGATGGACAAAGAGTGTCAATCAACATGGAGTACAGTATGGATTTTTGTTTGTGTATAAATATATCTCAGAATGGTTATAGCCATCTATGTGGAACCCATTCAGTGTTCAGACAAAATACCTTGTCAAGCACCATTCTCCACAGAGCAGGAACCAAAAAGAAGTTGAAGCCAAGGTCCTGAAAGAAAAGAAAGCATAAGTAAGGACTTACCTCGTGTCAAAGCTGTGCTGAAGTCTGTTGAATAGCCACAGGTGGCAGGCAATACCCTGAGGAAGCAAAAATAACGGAGGGCAAATATTATCCGGATCAGGACAAAGGTAGAGATGAGAGAAAGAGGGAAGAGATATTGGGGAAAAGGAAGAGTGACCTTTGCGAGCTGCTGAGGTAGGTGGAATGATACAAAGTCCCAGTGACATTAAAAGCAAAAATATCCAATGTACGAAACCCGCAGCCAAAAGGAGGAGAAAATATGCCTTCAAGGAGAGGTGAAACATGGAACAGGAATAAATAGGTTCAAACAGAGGTAAAGTAAGGGCATGAAGGACCACGTTAATGTCCCAGTCCAGAAGCAACGGATGTCTCAACGGCCAACAGGGTCAGAAAGAATGGTTCAACATGGGAAGGACTGGAGAAGTGTGTTGAGAGATCCCGAGGAGAAAGAAAGAGGATTGGAACACTGGATAAAGGAGGAGGGGAGAGAAAGGGGATAACGAATCCCTCCGAGAGAACTTTATGAACCCAGACATTGGAGAGAAAATTGCTCCAATGATGAACGACATTTGACAGACAAGCTCCAATTGGGCCTGAACCTACCACGTAGTCACCAGTACTGTTGTTGATGTACCGTGCATCTTCTTGAAAAATGTCAAACAGAGGCACTGCGGAAAGAGGGGACAGGTAGAGGTTGGGAAGGAGAGGGCCACCAGATGCGAAAGGGTGGATTGTTGATAGACTGAGGCCACCAACGACTCCACAGACTCTGGAACCATGTCAGACACAAAACAGCATAAAAACAAGGCCATGTGTAGGTCCCAAAGATATGGAGCCAGTAGACGGGGCCACACCAAAACAATGTCACAGCCAAAAAGGTCCCAACAACATACAAAATATGTTTGCAGCACAAGAGCTGAAGACGACAGACAAGCCAATGTGGAAGCAAGGAGGGAGAGGATATCTACCAAAAACTCCTCAGGATTCCTGCAAAAAGCCTCAGACAGGAGGTGGAGGTACCACAAAAGGGTCATTAGGGTTAGACAAAGAGAAGAATATTAAACCTGGATAAGTTGGACATGATAATGAGGGTTCAGTCCCATACAGGTAGAACTGAAACCAACAACTGTTAGTCGAGAAAAGGAGAGTCTGCCCAATGATTAGCAAGGGTGGACTGATCCAAAGCCCTTAGGGGAGGAGGCATACTAATGCCATCCCCCAGTTGAGAGGCAGAATTTTCATCGTGAACCTGAATATAGGGGACAGGGAAAACTAAATAGGGTTTGGAAGAGGATTCATGTGAAAGGGAAGGTCGAGAATCATAGGAAACAGGAGCAAGAGACAAAACATCACATACCTGAGAGATAAAGTTAGGAAAAACTGATGACAGGAAAACAGAATCATCAGGCAGGGAATGGAAAGGTGCATCAAATTCTGGGGAGGGGGGGGGAGTAAACATTGAATCTTGTCACTCGGGCCACGTGTGAAAGGCTCTGGAGGAAGTGGGGCATTACAAGCTGGCTCATATAACGCATGATCTCCCAATGATAAATCCCTCTATAGATCGCCCACGATCAGACACGCGATGTACCCAAAGTGGTGACTGTAACGTCGGAATTCATGTGTCAAATGCGAGAAATAAGTGGCTAACACAAGTAATAAATGCTTTCAGAAATCAAATTAACTTCAAAGAAATGAAGTAGGAAAATAAAGATATTAAGCAAAAGCAAAATTGAAAGTTAAACCACTTCAATGTGATGAAATAAAGAAGATCTGCATTCAACAGCTGCCAAATGAGAAGTGATGGTTTGGTAGTAGGGAATCACATGTGTCCCATGATAGTAGTACTCTCCTATTAGTGGAGAAATTATTCATGTTTTGCATGAGAAACATGTTGGAATATTGGATTCCAACAGAGGGATGAAGAAGGCTTGTGGAATGCATTTTGAGAAAAAGTTTGCACATGGAGGGTAGCTAATCGGAAAACTTCTAGTTATGTTTAAGCATTCAACAATCTTCAATCTTGAAACTCACTAGAAATATAAAGAACATATCAATCACCTGATTTTTGAAAACTTTTGGTGTATTTCTTGTAGAAAGATCCAGTTATATAAATTTTGATACTTTTGATCTCTGTTTGAGCCATTATCTTCTCACATTATGAGACTACAGCAACATAATAATTACAACTCACTTGACAAAGACCTTATAATATAGATTTGACCTCTAGATTTAAATGAAATTTAACATACCAACCTACACATAAAATGAACCTTGTAAGTAAAAACTTGTTGCATATAAATAATGAGCAGAATATCACTTATTTCTTACTCATTGAGAAATCACCAGATATTACAAGTTTAGAATAACAATCACAATGAAAAGTAACAGAAGCAAACATAAAATACAACTGTGTGGTAATACATATTTCCAGTAACATAATCATACAAATTCCAAAATAGTTTGCATAGCAGTTCTGATGAGATAAAGACAATTAATGCTTCTGAGCAATTTAAAACTCTTTCTATCAGAATAAAATCACTTCATCTCACCAAAATACGTGAAAAGATAATTCTGAGGATGAAATCATGAAAAGTATAGTTAACTTATGTGTAAAAAGTCAAGTTTAGAGTACTTAATTGCATTTGTAAATGTAATCAATTTTGTATTATCAAATTCTCCTTTACTATTTACACAGACTAAAACATTGCTAAAATCAAAGGTACCAAACTGATGAATCAATGTATTCTAATCATTACAAGTTTTATGTTTATGATATTGAATACTCATTATTAAACTGGTATATTAAATTAGCTATATTAATTACTGAGTTCATTTTTAGTTCTGACTTATGTAGGCAATATGCTTTAATCAAAAGTTAATGATAATCAACTAACTAAAAATATTATATAACTTTCAAGTTTTTAAGATACAGTGCATTAATTGTTAGTTATGTACCATGCTTGATGTTAAACTATGTTAGCCATGTTTAAACAGAAATTTCTTCTTGATACCTGGTTTAAATGGTCCAGAAATGGGAAGAAAAAAATATATATACAAAGAAACTAAATATAAAAGCTTCAATATAATGCATTACATTTGTTTTTCGTCACACACACCATACAAAATCAGTTTTTATGAAATTTCTAGATGAGCAATAACAATACTATGCTTTAAAGTTACACCATAAACTACTATTTCCATCCAATATGTTTCTACATCCAAAAATGTTCACAAACATTGAACAAGAATGTGGTCCACTTCTTCACAAGCATTATCTAAGTTATTAAAGCATGAAGCATTATGCTATATTTAGTTTTCTTGACTCACAGTAACAAACATTTGTAGACAGTACAGCAAGCATGTCTAAGAAATCGTTGTAAAATTCACCACTGGAGGCCAGATTAGTTCCAGCATTTGAGTTACTACTCTATGGCTATTACTGTACCAGTCTTGTGGAAAACTATGTTTAAAACATTTGTTGCTTTATATACATAAAAGTTGCAAGACAAGGTAATTTTAAATTGTGTATGACAAGATATTTACATGAATCACTGTAGTAAGTTATATAGCAAGTAATAGGCAATATAAGAAGAAAAAAGAGAATACTCTCTTTCAAACTTCTAAAAGTTTATCAATTTAAAGTTTCTTATAAGTAATGAAATATTAAAAGGTGTATTTTGATTATAGTATTTTGACACTTGTG